ATATGTTAAAGCCAAACAATTGCCAAATTATATAGGACTATATTACTACTACTATTATTAATTAAATGCTAGGCAATTTGGCACTAGAAGTAGGTGTTAGTCAATATCTCTTGCTAAATTTAATAATTATAATTAAATTAATATTTTAATAATTAATTTAGAAGGTTCTGGAAGAAGAAAATCAGCCCAAAATTACTTAGAATGTAGCCTGATATAATCTGGCAATCATTTGGCGAGAATATGCTCTTAGAAAACATAAAGAATAGCAAATATTAGGATGCTGTTTTTGACTATTAGTTGATTAAAGATGAAGAGAAACCTTTTCTGACATTGCTAATGCTAGGTTTATAAAATAACTCTAAAAATTGTGTGAAAGATGAAATACATTTTATTTAGGATACATTGTAAGACTTTTCCAGAAACATCTAAAGAAAAAAAAATCAAAAACATTAGTCCTCAAAGCCAGAAAAAAACACACCTTTGTTTGAAGAGGCCTTCAGATACAGTGGAATAGGATTTTAATTGTTTTGCCCTATCCAGAATGATGCCGATTAGAATCTTAGAAGAGTTGACAATTGCTATTAATAATTAATAAAAGAAATGAAGGTTCATGTATCTGAGTCTAGACACTGGGAAATTCTCATTACAAATAGCATTTGAACACTTATGTCAGTAACAGAATGTGTTTCTCTTAATTTAGTATTTTATTTAAATATTTAAAACATTACAAATAAGCAATTATTTAGAAAAAATATTTTCTGTTTGAATTTACATCTCTAAAGTAAACTGTTTTGATTTCAAAAATATCAGTCCAAATAAATAAGACAATAAGTTTTAACAGATTAAAATATTACATTTGTTTACAAATTTATTACTGAATAGTTTTCTCTATGAATATATCTGAAATTCTTTTATATTTATATAAAAGCAGAATAATAATAGTACTTGATTGCTCCTTGTTATCTCCTATGTTTTAGAATTAAGCACAAAATTGCTATAGAGAACTTATCACACAAGAATACTTGTTTTGATGGAAAAAGTAGACTTGATATTCTATTTTTTTTTTACAAAAGGAAATGCATTTCTGGCCATTTGCCCTTCATCAGTCCTTAATGTATAATATGGTAAAACTGGAATGATGTCTAATGATTGACTGTTGGAATAACTATCATTCTAGTATTACCATATTATACATTGAGGACTGATGAAGGACAAATGGCCAGAAATGCATTTCCTTTTGTAAAAAAAAATAGAATATAAAGTCTACTTTTTCCATCAAAACAAGTGTTCTTGTGTGATAAGTTCTCTATAGCAATTTTGTGCTTTAATTCTAAAGAACACAGTAGTAGTAATACAGTAATACACAGACCATAAAAGACTATTAATGCTTAAACAACATAATGACATAACCAGGATTAACTTCATTAGAAGACTTACATAAAAAATATAATTTTTTCGAGTATTCTTTACATTCTTTTTACAGTCCAACTTGGAAGTAAAAGCAAAACTGGCTCGAAGATATAACTAAATCTTCATAAAACAGTGAATGTAAATTATTAAAAAATGCACACAGACTTTTTATTGTAGGATTTGGAATTTTCACAATAAAACACTGAGTAAAAATTTCTCACAATATCTACTATGTCTTGAAGCCATAATAGTTGACTTCTTGGAGTCTTGGTCCTTTTGGGTATATTATGGCTTCAAGACACAGTAGATATTGTGAGAAATTTTTAATTGGTGTTTTATTGTGAAAGTGCTGAATACTACAATAAAAGGTCAGCGTTTTGATCATTTTTAACTTGTGTAAATTTTTTAATTGTATTAAAAATGATCAAAACACTGACAAAGATTTAGTTATATCTTCAAGCCAGTTTTGCTGTTACTTCCGAGTTGGACTGTAAAAAGAATGTAAAGAATTGACTCACATAAAAAATATAATTTTTTTTAAAGTCTTCTAATACTTCAAACTATTAAGGCTTTTGTTAACATTATAAGTTGTTTTAAAAATTATTACAATTTAGATAAAATGTAAATTTAAAAAATTTCTTTTTATATTATTCTTACTCTTTCAATTTTTAAAATTTCTAGAGTCAAAAACCCCCCATTTATCCAGATCAAATAGAACCAGACCCAATCCAGATTAATGAAAATCTGGATAATCAAAATTAGTTGGATATTGAAATTCAAGTCTAAAATTTCAAACTGAAAATTGTTCTTAACGATTGAAAATTAACTTACTCGCTTTAACTGACTTGAAAATAATAGGAACATAAAAATTACTCTGTACATATATTTTTACAAACAATATGTATTTTTATCATTGCAAATGTGAGATTGCTACATAGGTATGCATTAAGACTGTAAATAATGAATGTTTCAGTTCTCATGAATATCACAAAGAATAATTTCCCACTAAATGTGTAAAAATTGAAAAAGAAGTGACTAGTTAAACCAATACAGATAAATGGGGTTTGATAGGGTTTGCCTTTTGAAAACTTTTTTATAATTCTGAATAAACTTGTTTTTGTAGATAATGTGAATGCTGAACTTGCTGAATGTATATCTTTTACATTTTATTCAAGATTATAATTCCCATAAATAAACAGTTATTTTTTCAACAGCTTATGTCCGAACTATGTGATATTCACCGTATTATCAGTTTTTGATAACAATGTATATTGTATAAATATCATATAAGATATAAGATTTGAATTTTGTAAATGTAATTATTTACAGAAAATGAACTTTTTAAAGATGATCTTTAACATTTAATAATGTTTAAGAAATATTAATATAATTTTAGAAATATCTTCAAAAATGTTTCTTCTATTGTTATAAAAGTAAAATTTAAATTTTTAATCAAAATTGTTAATGTTATTAAAATGCTTAATTTCTAATTATGACAGCTTCATTGCTTTTGCATACAAGAGAATACAATTTAAAAGTTTACCATCATTTATATTATAAATATTGAGAGTGCATTATTTGAAATATTCAAAAATTATTGGATAGAATTAAAATGCCAACATTTAGTTTACTATAACTGAATTTATAATTGAATGTTTTCAGAATTATTACTTCTTAAAGAAGATTAAAAGTTTAAAAATGCTAATAATTAAAAATTAAGTAACTGTTTGATTTTTTAAAATAAAATTAACAACTCAAGTTACATAAATCTTTTGATAATTTAGTAAGATGTGTTTTAGGTTTTTTTTAATTATCAAAAGATGGATATAATTTATCTTGACTGATTAATTTTGTTAAAACATGATTGCATGGTTTGTTTGATTTTCCAACTAAATTAAATAGTAATTTGTTGTTCTCTTTATCTATAAAAGATATGATTTTATTGCAAAATCTTTAGTGTTGAAAACAAAATTGAAATTTCGAAAGCTTAAAAATTTCATAAATATTCTATGTATTACTAATGTACTCAATATAAGGATAAATAAGTATATTAAAAGCAGTGTATTTGATCAATGCCAATTATTTTAATTCATTTGCAAATTGTGTTGATGTGAATATGCTGAATTTAACCATAAGTTAAATAAATGTAACAAGAAGTCATTGGCAAGTCTGATTGATCCCTTTCTCTCTCAATCGATTTTGTCATGAGCTGTCTATAAAAATAGTTAAACTGTAAACATTTATTACAATTATTATCTGAAAATGGAATACTTTTATATTAAACTATCTTCAGTTCTAAATCATTTAATTAATTAATTTTTTGTAAAAATTAATTAATTAAAGGATCCATAGGTAAAGAATTTTTTCTAATCTAAAATTGTTTTTTTCCCCTTCCTACAAAGTTTGGTAATTTAATTCCAAGACTGAATCCATTTTAAGTATACAAAAGTGCACAGATGCAAGAGTCAATGTGTCCATGATTGTGACCAATACAGTTGTTTTCTTCTATAAACTCATATCAATCATCATTCCGACTTAGTCATTTCAGAAGTTTTATATTGTTTATATTGTTATTATTTTAATTATGGAGCAAAGAATAAACATAAAGGTTGTTGCAAGTCAAATAGAACAAATCTGACTGAAAATTTCAGATTTATAACATAATTGTGTGGAAACTACTACTTCACACCTAAGTGCTAATTCCAGCACATGAACCTTTAATTGTGTGGCAATGATGTTCCCTATTGTTCTGAATGACTGTCAAGAGGATATCGAAGACAGTAAATACTACAGATAACCAATGATAATTGAAATTTAAAAACATTTGAAATTATTTGTGTGGAATTTGTTCCAATAGAAAAAGTGAGTAGAGAATATTATGCACAAAGTTTGGATCATTCAGTTCAAAAACTTCATCAAAAAAAGAATATTGGGGAAAAAAGGAGTTACTTCCTGCTTTATGACTGCACAGCTGCTATCTATTGTGATCAAGTTTTTGACAAAGCATAGGCTTATAGAACTAAATCATTGTCCTTGCTCTCCTGATTTCTCTTTCATATAGACTATCTTTCGCCTCTTAAAATTAAATTGACATTTAAAGAAAAGTGATTTGAAGGTAGAGGAAAACATTAAATATATGACAAATAACAAAGAAATTTCTTACAGTAGATTTAAAGTTTAAAAAGATATTTCTAACAACAATGTGAGGGAGTGCAGGAATGTGAAGTTACCTCAAAGAAATTACTTTGAAAAAAAAATATTAAAAGTATATTGTGTTTCTTATAAATTTACATAATCCAGGAATCAAATTGTCAAACTTTATATGGTAAGATTTTAAATAAAAAATTTTTTAATCAGTTGAAAATCATATTTTATAGTTGTTATAAAAAGTTTTTGATTTATAAATTTTTTTGTTTTGATATTTTTAAAACAAAAACATTGAGTATTGGAGATGTATTTAAAAAATTATTTTAAATTATTGAAGATGATAATTTAAATATTTCAACTATCTTTGTGTGATAGGAAAAAAATTAACAGTTAGGGAAAGTGTACAAAAAAATTAATATTACAACTTTACTTTTTGTAATTAGGGAGAGGGTCAGAAAACTGTTGCCTTCACAATGCCACAGAAAGTAACAATAACTCTTCCTGCTCATCAGATATCTCAAGCTGGACTACAATCTGTTGTAGTAAGTTTAAAATTTTAACTATTTATTAAAAACAAATTATTTGTTTGTATTCAAATGAAAAACTAGCATTATTACTCATAATTATCATATTTTATGGCATATAAGATGGGACTTTTGCCAAAAAAGAAAAAGTCTACAAAATCACCTTGTGTCTTGTATGTTAAGTTGTGATCATCTACAGGCTAAAGAATTACCCAAATGGCCTATATAGTAGCTACAGGTAACCTCGATCTAGCCCAACTCTTGAATAAAAATGTTATTGTTAATTAAATATATTAATAGTATTATTTGCTGTAGCTAAGAAACTTTTCATGTATTCGTGATGAATATTTTAAATTTTAATTTTAATGACTTTTTTTTAAACGCCTCTTTTTTCCTGATAAATGAAAGTGTGGCATCTAAATCTACTTTTTTTAAATCAGAATATAGTAAAAAAAAAAAAATTGAAGCTGAGTGCCAAAGGTGTGAGTTGGCTTAAATTAAACACGCTAAATACTTTTTTCCCTAAATATTCTGTGCTGAAATGGGAGTGCATGTTGTATGCTGTAAAATATGGTAGTTACCAATTATTTGAAACAAGGCAGTTCATAAATTCCTCAAAATAAAATTAATATGGTTGTATGACTGTAATCAAATTATTATTTATGTATGTGTTACTTCAAATTTTCTTTTTGATTATAGTCGGGCCCTACCACATTAACTAATTTACCACCAGAGGTAGCTGCTACTCTGTTACAACAAGCTGCATTGCAACAAGGTAGCATTTTAAACACAGGCCAACAACAATCAACCACTTTGCAGACAAGTATTATGATTTTGTTTTATATTTTAAAAAAAAGTTTTTTAATTCAAATGTTTTTCAATTCAAAATGTTTTGTTATTTTACAGGTGATCAGCCAATTGCAGGTATTCAGTATCAAACATTAATATCCGATCAACGACAAAAACAGTTAGTGACACAAGCCAACACATCAACACAACAAGTAAGGCAATTTTAATCATTTATAAGTATATGTAATGTTAAGTTAAATATGGAACATTTATTATAATAGAAAATTCAAATATAAAATATTTTTTGTATATTTGATAGTAAATTTTTCTCATATTGTTTAAATTGTAATATAATTGCTAGGTAAGAACTATTACTCAAGTTGATGGCACCAATGATACTAGTGATGACGAAGAAGAAGAAGATGAATTTCGTGATGATGATGAAGTTTATGATGAAGATGGGCAAAATGAAGAAGATAATGACATTCTGGCTGAAGAGGAGGTATTGAGATTAAAATTATTTTTGAAAAAATTCAGAAGTTAAAACATTATCATCATAAAGTCATGATTATACACATAAATATTATATACAAGATGAGACAATCCAATAATGCAACTTAAAAACTACTTTATTCAAAATTTATACTGTATATAGGATACAACACTAATTACATTCTTTAAGTTTATTAGGCCACTCTTTAATGGATACAAATAGAAAATAATACAGTAAATTACAGTTGAATTTTAAAACTTCAAAAAATTGTTGCCAATGATTTGCATTTTCCATTATTTTTGTAATCATAAATTAATTTTAAAAATCACTTATTTTACATCTTTTTATTTTGAATATTTATTTGTTTTGAAATAACAACAGACCAGACATCACACTCATTGACAAACACAATAAAATCACACACATTATAGACATAGCCATTCCAAACACTCACAATGTACAAAACACATGCACTGAAAAAATTAGCAAGTACACAGAACTCGCCCAGGAAATAAGGCATCTGTGGAGGATGGAAAGGGTTTGTACCTGTCGTTCTCTCCTGTACAAGTGTGATACCACACACACTACACAAAAGCCTGGGAACATTACAATTGAATAGAAATACATACATCACACTTCAGAAGGCCACTATATTGAATACANTTTTGTGCATTTTAATTTTCATTGAGCAGTGAATTAATTAATATTGGGGGCAGATTAAAAATGATTAATAAAGCATTGTAAAATTTAGAACTATAGAACTGAAAACTCGTTACATATATTATTTTCCTGAGTTAGTAATTTAAATATATTATAAGAATATTGTAAACATGTATATTTTCCAAAAGTGTTGAAAGTTATAAATGTTAATTTTATAGCGTATGTTTGTCATTAATAAGACTATTTTAATTTAATTATTATTCTATTGTTATATTATTTTAATGGTTCTTGAGTAAGAATCATTAATATAATGAAGAATACAAGAATTATTCAATGAATCTTAAATTTTTTTTATTATTATGAACTTTTCCTACTGCTCCTTTCTTTTATGCAGGAAAATAATGTTTTTTTCTGTAGATGTAATAATTGAAAAATTTTTAGTAAGTAAACAGAATAAATAATTTGTTAAGGTAGTAAAACAGTTCACTAAAATACTGTAAAATGTTTTAAAAAATAAATGAATAATGAGCAAATATACAAATGTTATAATGAAAATTTGCACAAAAATTCTCTTTCCCACAAGTTGCTTTTGAACAAAATTGTATATACTAAATACTTGAATTTTTTTGCAATTATTTCCTCTTAAGTAACATAAATGACTTCCTCCGATAGTTATTGGAAAATAAAAATGATCTGTATTGCATGTATTTTTCTTATAGTTGCTTCTTAGTTTCAAAATGAAATATTTCCTAGAAATTTTTTTAATCTGTTACTTATCATTAGAGCAGTTCTCTATTCATATGTTTCTTTTATGCAGGAAATAAATAAATAAATTCATTTTATTATAATTGCTAAATTAAGAATATTGGGCTGATATATATAAAAAAAATTTTGGATTGATTATCTATGTACTACAAATACCATTGTATATTTTTTTTTGCAGTTTAATCTACAAATATATACATCATATCAGTTTATAACACACTCACTCTTCAGTAGATATATTTAACAAGAGAAATCATGCAAAAATATGTAGATTTGAAATCAAACAAACTGAAAAGAAAGTGTTAATACTAGCACTCAATGGTTATGGCATTACAAATAATTACAGCATGTATATTAAATTGATAAAATACACAGTAGTATGATATAAAAAAATTAAATGTTTAACATCAACCTAGGTATAACATGTTTTAATTGAGTTTAAAGTCTGATGTATGCTGATAGCTTCTATAATTGATCATTAATAAGAATAAATTTAGAAAGGAGGCTATAAGTTTATTTTTTTTTTCTGCAGAAAAGTTCTAGATTTTTGTGCCCTAGCTAAGGCATTTGTTCGTCTACCAGTTTTTGAATTTAAATTATATTCCTGGCAAAGATATTTAAAATCAGTTTTCAAAATCCATTGGGAAGACCATGACATCTTTTAAATGATTTGTGTCTTTGCGTAATATAAATAATCACTTGCAACAATTATTTTCATTTCAGCTTGACAATATTAAAAAAAAAAAGGGAAACATTTATAATATTTTGAATCTAAATCCATAAATCCACACTTTGGGATTCATCTACCGTGTTTCCCCGAAAATAAGACATCCGCAGAAAATAAGACCTAGCACAGATTTTGCTGAATTGCGAAATATAAGACCTCCCTCTGAAAGTAAGACCTAGCGAAGTTTTTTTTAGTCGTAACGGTCATCGACAGATGGTTGAAAGTGGCCGTTGGCTTTTTGAAAGTACAGCCACTGATTGGTCAGCAGACAATTACGCCACACGGCGTGATTTGCATAAGACTAAGGTTGGGAATCACAGATTTGCATAACATTACGGCTGGTGATGGCTAATTGGTCGGCCGGGAATCACGCCACATGACATTTGCATAGTGCTACGGTTCAGTAAGCCCTAATTGGTCATCGAGTCCGATGTTGACACTATAAAAAGGCGACAGTTTGACACACTGGATATACGTCACTCTCGTCTAAGTTTGACTTGGGAATTTTTTTGTTCAATAATAAATGTGAATTCTTCTTCCTGGAAAAAATAAGACATTCCCTGAAAATAAGACCTAGCGCATTTTTCAGAGCAAAAATTAATATAAGACACTGTCTTATTTTCGGGGAAACACGGTATACTGATAACAATAACCAAATGAGAACATTAAGCAGGATAAATAAGTAAGATTATAATTAGTGGAAATTCAGGTTTTATTTTATTGACTCTGACATTAAAAGGATATGTTAAAACAATTAAAAATTGTATTACTTAAAGATTTGACTGATACTGATAACACAAAAAGATAGTTTTTTGTTCATTCATTTGAAGATAATGATATCTATAACTGAATTCTGATTACAATAAGAAAAGTTTTATAGTGTGTTTGAACTTAGGTTTTGAGACTTGCTAATTCTGATAACTATAGCAATTGTAATCAGGGATTGATTACAATAAATGGATTTTACTGTATTTTGATTAGTTTCAAATCAGAAACTCAGATGCAGAAATTATAGATGAGATGATAGCATTTCTAAATATTTTTTCTACATTCTAGTACAATTAATTAAAAATTTTTAAAAATATATTATCATAGATAACCTTAAAGTTTATTAAAATTAAACACTAACATACCATGCATACAATCTTCTAGCAAATAATATATATTTGAATTAAATACAAAACAGAATGTTTTCAGTCTCTTTTAGGGGCCTACATCAAGCTTTACTGAATGTCAGAGATTCTATTTTAGAACATTTTTTAAATTTGCGAGCAAATAAAATAAGTTAAATATACAAATGAGATTGACAGTAAATAATCTTTATGCCTATATTACCTCTTAGTTTAATCTGTTGGTCATTTAGTAGTTTTTTGCCTTCGATTCAAATTAAATAATCAAATAATGTAAAGAAATTTTACTTTCATTTAATTATTAGACTAATTCATTTACCATACATTAGTATAATTTGCAGATAAGGTTTTTTTTTATTGGATATAGAAATACCTTAATTTTTTCCCCCTCCGTATTTTCATTTTTAATACCACATGGAGTTGTAAATTGATTATTGCCATATTGAATGCTACAAAACAGCAAAAGTGAAGATTGTATTGTATTATCATATATGGTATTTTAGTATTCTAAAATATTTTCAAATTTAATAGAAATAGGTTTTGTTTTAAAAAAAGTTAACTGTATATGTCACATTTATTTTTTGAATGTTAACTTGTTTTATTCAAGAATCTAATATATATATACATTAATTGAAGAGAGTTTTAGTTTGTCAGACTTAGTTTGAGTGAACAGCTGGGGGTTAAAAATACTGTTCATATATTAAAGTAAAGTTCTTATCCTGTAGGTGATGACACTGAAGAGAGATTTGAGAAAGATACAGTGGTTTGGGCATGGCAAAGGTATAATGTTAAGTCTATGGGACAAGCTTGTTGGGGTCCCACCTCCTGTTAAATGTATCCTGACCAATTTTGTGTGTTTTGCGGTTTCATTATTTTAAATGCTGAAATCAATAAATGTAGATTTTAGTTACTAAGACCATTGTTTTTTTTTTTTATCTCTCCCAACTTAACCTCACCAATCCCCACTTCTTTATAAGCCTAAAAGTACTAGCTGCAACTACCAGGCATGTGCAGCTAGTACTTTTTAATAGGCAGCTATATCATTATAACTTGTTTACAAATATACATGTTTCATAATTTAATTTATATATAATTTTTTTTTATTTCAGTTTAAATAAGACATGTTTAAAATTTAGATTAATTATATGAATTTGTAATCTAGTTTACTTGTATTCTTTTCAACCTTTTCATATATATATATTATATAAAATTTCATTCTCTAAGGGGGTGCTCTGTCAACTTGAAAACTAGGTAGTACTGAAAATGCTGTTTCATGTTTGGCTAATGTTCTTTGAAATTTGACAGAGAAAGCTTATTCATAGGATATGTGTTTAGATGACCTCTTCCAGACTAGAAGAGAAGTCATCTTTGCTTTATACTAAATAGTTGTTTTTTTTTCCTTCTTTCTTTAAAATAAAGTAATAGAAATCTTATGAAGGACATTAAGAAAAGTAAATGCACATAATATTCTAATATGTTTATAAATTCTTGTAGTCTGATTGGCTGTACATAGCTTGATTGCATATAGTGATATTCAAAGACAATCTTGTCTAATACAAGTTTTTATGCATTTGTTGTTATGAATATATATGAACTTGTTATTGACAATCTTGAATCAGGTTAGAAAATTTGTTATTGAATTTGTCATTTATAATATAAACTGAACTATACATGGGATAAATTGTGGGATGGCATTTAATTAGTAGAAATCAAAAAAACAGTCAGAC